TGTGTGTGTGTGTGTGTGTGTGTGTGTGTGTGTGTGTATGTGTGTGTAATATTATATATTACAGTTATATTATTGAGTGAGAAATTACATGTAACTTGCAGGTGTTTACTGCGAAAGAATATTTCATTAAATAATTCGACGCTGCCGAGCTACTTCAGAGTACAGCTTTATCAAGAGTAGGAAAAGTATAATTTATCCATAAGTATCATGTTTGATATTTAAAAATTAATACTATACCTTTCAGGTTTTATTAACATACTATAAATTTGCTCGTTCTAAAAGTGGATACGCGGAAAGAACACCGAGTGTGAACAGAGCATATGTTCGCATTCACGTATACGCGTGATTTTTCATGTTTTTAGTATAGATTTGTAGTTTTCGTTTTTAATTCACTCTGTAAAGGTGCTTCCATATAATTCGTAAATCGCAAAAAAAAAAAAGTAATTCGCAAATGCATACGCAGAATGAAGATTCGCATTTATTTTTTCATTGCGTGCGATTAGTTTTCATCTTGCGTGCGGTGATCGTCATTCTGCGCCAGCATTTGCGAATTACGTTTTGCGATTTGCGAATTATGTGGAAGCACCCAAAAAATTTACAGAATAAATTTATCAGATACTTGTGTGTGTTAGCCAGTCGGTTTTAATGAGAAGACGATTTCACTTTAAATTAGAGTAGAAGTTTGCAGCGTTAACGACTTCATTTAAAAAAATAAGTGACTCTTCACCTTTTGTCTTAGAGTGAGTAAATTTACTTGAAAAAATGCCAATACCGAAAATCTGTAGTATACGGCGTAAACTATAAGTTTTCAGTACTGATGAATTGGAACACGACTAATGTCAACATCACTTTCGTAATCAGGGCAAGTTGCGTCCGCAGTTTTATCATCTCGGAATCGGGTTTTTGCTTCTCGAGTAGTCAACTACGGCACATCCAAACCGCTAATTACGAGTAATTAATTACCGTAAATACGCCTCGGCATATCGATGTCAAAGCTTCGGGTCCTCTCCCTTGACCCCTTTAATCGGATGAACGTAGGCACGTCCGAATGGTAATCCTGAAATTCGCTTGGCACTCGACCGAGGGATTCTGGTTGGCTGCCGGAGGACACATTCACGATATCGACGCGTCCGTCCTCGCAAAAACAGCGGTTGCGCTTAATCCCGTTTCAAAGATTAGATTTAACCCCGATTAAATAGCTACGACCTTTTCCTTGGCTAAGCAATCCTGGGAGATTAAAATGAGACCCCGGGTGTATAATACGCGCTCTCGAAATCGGGCAACTCGTAATTATTCGCGGTCGGATAATTATTCGCTCGCGACTGTCACATATATTTTGCCGAGTAAAGCCGTACCGCCGCGTATCACAGGCTTGAAAGCATCAAATCTAAATTCAAAGCGGGAACGATGGTGCGTGTACAGTGTATACACCGCGATTTTCAGTACCTATAGAATTTTATCCGTATAACATTTTGCACATAATGAGTAATATAGAAATTTATATTAGTAAATAGTAGTACGTATAAAAGCAGTATAAAGGAAATGTAAAATAATATGAATATATTTTTGAAAGAAATTAATTTCGCTCTGAAATTTTAGTCAGTATCTCAATATTATACTTAATTCTTTACTAAAATAATAATCTATTTTTTGCCTAATGTATAAAAGACTTTCCATTTATCGGACCTATCGTTCTCTTTTTCGTCGATTTAGTTTGGTTTCATTAAAATCGAAAATTAAAATCGATTAAGCGTTTTGGAACACAAGCTAATAGTGCGCGAGATAAAATTTTAACGGACAAAACGAAACGCGGACAGCAGTAATTGAATTTTGATATCGATGAGATTTTAAACGTCGACCGAATTTTACGACACATCATGTCGACATCAAATTCTCGTTTCGAATTTTTTTTTTTTTTTTTTTTACGTTTACGAAATGGCTATCGACCCCGCTCGTAGCCGGTAGCCACCCTGGATTACAACAATCGTACGAGCGGCATATACTAGATCCAATCATGGACTATTACAAAAAAAAAAAAACGTAAATGACAAGAATCAAAAGTCATACCTGACGACAAACTATCGCCGTCGATGGGACCAGTGATTGACGAGAGTGATCGTGTCGCCGGTCGACGTTATTACATTTACACGTGTTACACCGTGTTACACGCCATGCACTCATGCCTCTCACGGTATCTCTCTATTCAATTCGTGACGATCGATGAGTACAATCATCCGCGACCGGCGTTTCAAGTCTTAAATGACAACGTTGTATTTAAATAAAGGAGAAATAAAGCGCGCACATCGATCGCATTCGAATCGACCTCGTTCGTCAGCTTTTTTTTATTTCACGTTCATGATGACGTCCCATATAGAGATATTACCATTCCTCGCCGTTACTGTTTCATTTTTTCCCTTTCCTCTTCAAGGAGGCGACCGCTGAATATCAAGATCGAACGTTTTCGAATTTCGATCTCCTCTCGAATTCCTTATCTCGCGCCGAGTACGATTCCGGCGGAACATAAAACTTTATGCCCGGGGAGACCGATCTCCTTATAGGAAAGGGGTTGAAATTCAACCAGGCGATCCCGAATTGCCGCGAATAATCATGCGAAATTGCCGTGTAAGAAACGGAATGAGGGAATCCCGTCTGCGGAGCGAACTTCGACTTAAAATGAAAGTGCCCGTAAGGCGTTTACTCACCTATAACTCGCAGAAATATATATCCCTCTGACTGCGAGAAACTGTCTTGCAGAAAAAAATTAAGCTAAGAGGCGAAGAGAAGAAAGTTACATGAGTCCCGCGAGAGTTTAGATATAAGCGAAGCGCGCGCGATAAAATAAAAATATTTCATATTTCAGATCGCCTTGGCAATTTTCTTGATTGACATCTCGAGCGAATAGTAATTTTCACGTTTCGCGTTGCAACATATTTTGTTCCACTTATTATAATAACTTTGTTTATTAATTTTATAATGAACTTTTGTCGCACAAGAAGTTATAGATAACGGAAAAATTTCAAGATCCTATTTTTTTATATTTAAATTAAATCAATTAAATAAAAGAAAAAAATCCTATTTTTAGTCGAAGTGGATCTTGATGCTTAATAATATTTATATGTAAATTTCCGCAAACCCAATGCGATTGCGTTTCAAGTCCGATAAATCGAATCAGTGCGCAGTTTATGGAACTGAAAAATATGTTTGCAAAAATTTGCATACGAATATTATTAAGCATCAAGATGCGTTTCGATCGAAAATATAATTCTTTCTCTTATTTGATTTATTCTTATTGATGTAATTTTTACTTGTAATAAATTAGAATTTTTCTTCAATTATTGATTGTATCTCTCTCTCTCTCTCTCTCTCTCTCTCTCTCTCTCTCTCTCTCTCTCTCTCCGTGTCATTTATATTAATTCCATTGCTTTATTTATAATTAAATTGTTGCACAAGAAATTACATTGAATAACAAAAATCTCAGGATATCATTTTATGCACAGAGATTAAATCTTTATAATTTTTTTTAACACTAATGACTATATGATTTACAATGATTTGAATATCACATTGCAATGCAGTTTTAATTGCAAGTTTTATAAAATGTGACATTGATTTTTCGTTATATAAGCGTTATGCAAGCTCCTGCCTGAGTTTTGAATGTTCTGCCAGTTATGATATCTGTTCTTGTTTACGATTTCAATTGGACATCGAATCGGCACGCAGTTTATGAAAACTGAAAAAATGTATTTGCAAAAATTTGCATATTAATATTTTTAGGTAATAAG